GGCGACGAAAAGCGGTGGGACGCGGAGCGAAGGCGTAGGGGGGCAAGGTGCGGTGGTCGATCGTCATCACTTCGGCATTCGCTCGGCGACTTCGCGGCGAGACGGATGTGTGGTGTGAGTTGCTCCGCATTTAATCTACGAAAATGAGATATTCACGAACGCGAATTGATGATTAATTAATCAAGGATGCCCAAATAGTAATGTTGCTCATAACTAATAAGGTGTGTACTCAGAGTTATATCTCAATCTTTATTACTCTCTTTGATGATTTACATTCAAATAAAGATTAATAATAAGTTATACATTCTTTAAGTAAAGATTTAGAAAGGACGCAAACATTTTTTAAATTATAAAACAATTTAGACTAAGTATAATAATGATATAAATAGAATTCATGTTATACATTTGCAGATATATAAATTAGAGATATCCCAGGACGGTATTCATAATCCGTTCTTTCGAGACTGTCTTAAGTAATGTCTTAAGACACTAATACAGCCCTCTGATTCGTGACTTCTTAAAATTATACTTAAGACGGTCTTGAATATGAATACTCTGACTGTGAATATCGGTCTAAGATATAGAGTTGTGTGTGTAACGAATTCAAAAAATAAAACGTAAATCGTATAATAAAACATCGCGTAATATTCATCGAAGAATATTAAAACGTAACGAATAAATTATTTTACAGATTTTGTAATAGGCGTTAACGTTAGTATTTCGACAGTTAGACGGTTGGCGCGTGACCTTCGGTTGGGGATGGTATGGGGTGACACGGAGCAGCGCGTCATGTTGTTTACGCGTTGTTACCGTGCGAACATTCTCTTACCAAAGCTCGTACAGGTAGATAGCCGTGTTACGTGCCGCCCTTGTTTACATTCCTTTTTGAAATAATCGCTAAATATAATACGAAACTTTCTGAATAATTAATCATATTAGCAATCATATCATGTGAATATTTATAAAATATAACTTTCGTATCATATCTAACATTTTTCATGATTGTACTTTTCGAAAAAAAATGTGAAGAAGAACGGCACGCGACACGACTACTTGTCTATACGAACTGTATCACACACGAATCATAAAAAGCAATGTTAATATGAATACTTTCATGCAATTTCTGCTTTCATAATTAATGCAGTTTAATAATTTAATTAATTTTTTGTTTTTGTACATCTTTGTTACGATTCGTTAAAAAATTAACCATAGCTTTGGAACGATTTATCGTTAATAAAAGAAACATTTCTCTTTTTTATTAATCCTAGCCTATTTTATTGACTCTAATCATATCTTACATCATCTATGTGTATAAATAAAAGATTCAGTCCTTTTATCTGCTCTGACTTTATTTCGTAATAATAACGAATTGCAGACGTGTGTTTGATGTTCGTTTCTAAAAGTTAACCGATTGCATAGTAATTGCATAGTAATATAGATAATAGTTACATATTACATTTTTCAGATTACCTTCCCTCTCACAAGTACACCTTGAAGATACCCCCTCATCACGTGGTGAGGGGGCTCAGTACCCAGAGGATATTTACACGAAGATGATTTTTTTCAAGTATCTAAAAATTTTCGAATATGTATATATCTAGATAAATTTTTAGATATTGAATAAAATCGTGCTTTTCGTGTAAAAATCCAATGGGGAAGCTAACGTACCCTCGTCGCCGATTTATTTGAAAATGAACGAACTGCAGCCAGTTCGTCGCGGCGCGCGTTTGCATCGGGAGTGCCGTTTAAGTTATCGGATTCAAATAGTCCGCGCGCGATTATAGTGTATTATTCGCGAGTGTTTTGCGCGAGTGTCCTGTGCGAGAGGATGTCAACTTTATTCTTAGAGGAGGAGATCTGGGAGAGGCACTAGACATCGGCGAAGCAATCTTGAGGTAAATATTTTTTTCTTATGTAAAATTAACCTTTTTTTGTTTGTTTTCAAATCATTTTATTTGACAATGATTTAAAAATGATTATTTTTAAATCATTGTTAACTATAATGATTTGAATATATATATATATAAAATATTTCTATATAAAATAATTATGTATTCTCTAAAGTAATTATATTCTCTAAAATAATATACTTTTTTTAAAGAACTTAATAAAAATAAATTTGTATAAAATATTAAAATAATTTTTAAATAGCTCTTCTTTTATTTAATTTAGATAAAAGGAGAGTTACTTAAAATTTAAATAAAATAATTATTTATATTCTCTAAAATAATTATATATATTCTCTAAAGATTTTAGCAAAAATAAATTTGTATAAAATTTTTAAATAATTTTTAAGTAACCCAGCAAACGAGAATGGATTAAAATGGATTGAAATTTTTTTCTATCAGAATGCGTATTTTATATATATATATATAAATAGCGAATACTTTTTTTGGATTTAATTGAATTCAATTAGATTCAATTGGATGCAATTGGATTGAAAAACTATATTTCCTATTTAAAATTTTGAATTGAACAGTATTCACAATTGTGTGTTTTTGTACAAGCTTTTGAAAAAGCTAATATTATTTTTAGATTGAAAGGCATAGTGATATGCTCCATGTAATTCCTATAAATAAATAAAAATGCATTCAGGATTGAAAATTTATTTTAACATTCGTGAATCAATATTTCTGAAAATCTGAATCCATTTCAATTCATTTCAATCCATTCTCGTTTGCTGGGAACTCTCTTTTTATTTAAATTAGATAATACAATAAAAAATAATATTTAAAAAGTTATTGCAATTTCATTAGCGAAATACAATAAAATAATTAAATAATAAAAATAAAAAAATAAATTAAAGATAAATTAAAGATACACTTATCTGCAAAAACGGACTACTAAATTTATTAGTAACTCGTTTGTTTTATGAGTGCGTACACTTACAAAGAAAAGAGGATCGCCGATAAAATTGGCGAAGGTGGTGGAGGGTCTCTATTGCTCGTTTTTGCTAATTATATCTTAAATGGACAATATATGTTTAGAAGAGATTGAATTTATTAAATCTCTATAATGCTAGTAATTATAGAGACATTTAATAAATTCAATCAAAAATGTTAGATTAATTTTGTCATTATATGCTTTTTAAATTTTACTATTGTAATAAGAAAATAATAACAAATAAAATAAATAAACTATAAAAATATGTTTAATAAAAATAAAATGCTTGAAACACAACTTTCATACATTTTGTATATAGTTTATTATTACAGAGAAAAACCTGAGAGAGGCCATACCTTTTTCCTGTTACAATTGAAATCGAAATATATGTTTAGAAGAGATTGAATTTATTAAATGTTTTTATAATTGCTAGTAATTATAGAGACATTTAATAAATTCAATCTCTTCTAAACATATATTTCGGGCGATTTCGATTGTAACTGGAAAAAGGCCGGCATGGCCTCTCTCAGGTTTTTCTCTGTAATAATAAACTATATATAAAATGTATATAGTTATGTTTTTCAAGCATTTTATATTTATTAAACACATTTTTATAATTTATTTATTTTTTGTTATTATTTTCTTATTACAATACTAAAATTTGAACAGCATATAATGACAAAATTAAACTTTTTTTATATAAATATCTAAACTTTTTTTGTATAAATATATAAGTATCAAACTTCCAGAATGTATATCAAACTCTGATGAGTGAAGTTTCGTTCATTGATCAACCAGAGGATTTCTTTCTGGTTAAAGTGAGGTAGAGATCATGGAAGGGATTGACATGGGCTGTATTCCAATTTACTACCAACATTAAAAATGCTACAGTTTACGTTATGTGCACTATAGATTTTCAATACTGGTCAATTTTGGAATACAACCATGGTATGTCCAGTTTAGGCAAACTATGCCGCTTTTGCGAGTCGAAGCAAAGAGAACTTGATAAAGAACATGACGGCCCAAAACCTGTAACCGCAAAATGTTGCCGCGCACTATTGTCTTCTGACAAAGTGGATGTTACATAGTAATGTCCACTTGTTTTAAAATACATCGATTTATCATCTCGTCTTGAAAAATAGACGATGTACCCTAAGAAAAGTGGACGTTGCTATGTAGTTTACGTCCACTTTGTCAGGAGGCAGTAGTGCGGCAGCATTTTGCGGTTACATTTTAGGCTGTCATATCCTCTCTCAGGTTTCTCTCTGCTTGAACCTGGAATTATTACGGATTGTTCCAGTTTCTGCTTTAGTTTCTATGCTCTTGTGCAAGCGTGTAATCGATTTCTAGAATCTCAAGACAAAGAGAAATAAAAGAATAAATATTTCTGAAAAGTCTTTAGATAACGTATATTTTACTTTAACCGTAATACGAATCAAGATCATAGGCGTGGTGGACTGTATCTGGCGTCTACTGTCGTGTCCATTGCTTACAGTGCCTAGTAATGTCAGCCTAACTCAGCTGTGCCTTCTGGCTGTGGATAATTGTGAGAGAAGTATATAAACACAGTTAGCTACATCTATTAGTATATGTTTGCTTGATAATTCGTCAATAATACGTCGGGATCATTCGCCACTATCGTTGTCTTATTTTTTTTAAGGACTATCGTTTTAATATCATCATGTCAGAAAGCGCGAATTCGGAGATTGATTCCTACATGTATAAATGTCGCGCATGCATGAAGGAAAGCTGCAAAATGTTATCCATGTATGATGATAACATTAGCGAGATCAACTTGCCGTACAAGCTCGCACAGATCACGTCTATCAAGGTAAACGGAATTTTGGAAATACAAAATTTTTTTATAACTAACCTCAACAAGTGTCTTTAACAAGTAGATCTTTAGAGGCCAGCCTGACTATGATCTTGCCCATAGACATGAGGTTTGTGTTGTGTTTTGAAATTACCCAAAAATGTGTGCATTTAAAATATATATATATATATACATTTTTTTTAAATATATATACATATATTTATATAATAAATAAATATATATACATTTTTTTTTCGGGCGAAGAAAGAGAAAGCAAAGATACTAAGTGTAAAAAGTGCAAGCAACAAATAGACCTATTAACATCTAGTACAAAAGATTTTTTTCCTTAAATATCATGATTAATAATTTAATATTACAATAGTTGTTTTGCATGCATTAATTGAGATCTGCTACAACTTCTTTATATCGATTTTCTAAGAAAAATGATTGCTTATATCTTTATAGGTAATTAAATAATTTTTTTTAGAAAAGAATTTTACTTGCTTTAGTCATGTATTATATGTAATTAAGTAAGAGAATTCCAAATTTCAGTCAAAGATTTTAAATATTTTAATGTGAATTTATATACGTATCCAATTCTGTAAACTGTGTACTGAAAATAGACTCTTTATTTATTTTCAGTTTGATTTTAAATTATTGTTAGTATACGTAATTTTTAATATGTTCATCATTATCATCATCATCGGACATGATTTAGGCCGGGATGGCCTGTTCCACTTCAATACGCCATATTTTCCATGATCTCCCTACGTCTATTACCTTGTGGTTTATAGCCTAATGCCAATTTAGAAAGTTCATTTTCATCCATCTACTCCATGTGGAGTTGCCACTTCCTCTTATATTCTTTTTATTTTTGATTGTGAAAATTTCTAACTTTTTCCTTATGTCTTCATTTTTTATTTTATTTAATTTCGTATAACCTTTAACTACTCTTAAAAACTTCATTTCTGCAGTTTGTATTCTGTTTAAGTTCTTCCTTTCTATTACCTAAGCTTCGCTTCTATATAGCAGCATGGGAACTGCCATTATTTTATAGAACTTTAATTGTGTATCTTGTTCCTTAATGTTTTTCGATTGGTGCCGCATTCTCTGGAATGAAATCAGTTTTTGGTTTATATCAGCTTTTTTTTTGGTAGGTCAGATTGTATCCTAAGTATTTGAAGATTTGGGTTTGTTCTATTCTTTTATTGTTTATTATTATCTTTGAAGAGATGGGATATTTTCCTCTGAATGCCATTATTTTCATTTTTGACGTAGAAATTTCACAGTCATTCTCTGGCTATCCTGTCTAGTTGACAGCTATTTGTAGATCATCTTCTGTGTTAGCTGTTATGGTCTGGTTGTCGATGTTTTTTTTCTTTTTCTTTTTTTTTTGGTTATTTTATTATATATTGTTTTCTTTTTTCACGTCTCTATGTTAATACCATATCGTTTATGTATATGTTGAATAGGATCGGGGATAAGCTATATTTTTAACTTATTCTTTGGTTAGTGAATGTAATGTCTTTGGAATTCTCCTTGTCAATAGTTAAATTTGTTCCGTGATACATATTCTTTTATTACCTTAATTAGGTTTTTAGGAAGCCCTTTCCTTCTAAGATATCCCAGTTCTGATCAGCAGACTTTGTCGAAGACCTTTGCGTAGTCTACGAATGCGATTTGTGTCTTCAAGTTTTGCTCTCTTCTTTTTTCTATAATTAGTTTTAGGGTCAATATCGCATCTATTGTTGATCGTTTTTTTCTGAAATCATTTTGTTCCTCCTAATTTGACTTCCGCGATGGCTTGTACTCTACGTGCTATTATTTTCGAGTATATTTTATAACATGAGTTTACTAAGCTAATCTTGTAATTATTGGAGTCAGTACTCTCTCCTTTCTTGTATATAGAAACAACATCGGCAGTTTTTCACTCCTTGGGAGTCTGTGATTGATTCCAGTACATGTTTAGAAGATGTAGGATTTTTAATTTTAACATTAAACCTCCGTATCTGATAAGTTCGGAGTTTATATTGTCAGTGCTTGTTGCTTTTCTATTCTTAGTGACTTTTAATGCGTTATTCAGTTCTTCTAGCGTGATAGGTCTATCGCTTCACAATTCATTCTTTTCTATGTCATCTGTTATATAGATTGTATCATAACTGTGTATAGTGCATTTCTTTGTAAATGATGTTCAGCTTTGCAGAATCTCTCTCTGATTTATTCAAGTGTTTCATTATCTTATACGTTACTAATTATTTTCCATGTTCATATCATGTTCAATCTGTCTTATGTACAATATTTGTCCCAGCTTTATTGGTAGGCAGCTTTTATTGCTCGTTTGGTTTCGTTACATTTGTTTCTGTTTGTTTGTTTTGTCTTCTTGTTCGTTTTTGGAGCTCAGATATTTATGGTAAATTTCTCTGAAATCATCGTTTCTAATTCTTCGTTCCACTCTTGATCTTTTTTGGTGTTTCTTGTATCCTAATGTTTCTTCTGCAGATTTGAGTATTTCTATACATATATTCTATATATTTTTATATATTCTTAATATGTTAATATTGTTAATAATATTTTTTTTCAATAGATTGATCAATTTGATGGACTGCCTAACATGCTCTGTCCAAAGTGTGCATATCGAACGAATGCTTTATATGACTTCAGATTACAAGTGCAAGAATCAGATAAGAAATTTAGAATGATGCAAGAAACTAAAACGAACATTGTGAAGGTATAGTGATAGAAAATGAAAATAATAATAATAATTTGAAAATATTAATTTGAAGTTTATATCTGTTAAATATGCGTTACATTTCAATTTTGAATAATCTATAAATTGAATAATTATCAATCATAAAGATTAATTTATAAATAAGTATTTAAAGGACATAAAATTATCTAAAGGGTATCTTTTTGATGTTATTTTTGATGTTATTATAACGTTACTTGCTTTTTTTTTCTTTAGACAGAACAGTTAAATGCTAAGAAAGAAAAAAGTAATGCACAGAAAGATGGATTTTTGGAATTAAATATATCAGGCGATGTAAAGTCTGATCGTACTTTTGAGTTTGTAAACATTAAAATAACAAATGATATGGATCAACAACAATATGAAATTGATGTATCTCAGTTGGTCAAAGATAATGGAGATGATAAAAAGAATTCACAATTGAATGATGTTTATTATAATATCGAAACTAATGAGGATCAAATAGGTGCCCAGTTGATGAAAACTGAGTTACCTGAAGATATTTCAAAAATATTTGCAGAAAATGTCGCAATTATGTATATACCAAAATCTACGATTGAGTCGATGTCAGTCGAGAACACGTTAACGTTTGATCCGGAACAAGAAGAAATAGTAAATGACAATGATACATTTATTTCTGAAGTGGAAATCTTGGCTGAAGAAAATGAAGAAGCCTCAAGCAAAATATGTGTTTCCAATCCTGTGGAATCTAAAAAGAATAAATGTACCTATTTAGAACAACAAGAAATAATATCAGTAATACAAGTTGAGAAACAAAAAGAATATAATGAGATGATACAAAACAGAGATAAAGAAACAAAGCTCAATGAGAGTAGTTCTAATATTGAATTCATAGTAGAAAACAACGATGGATCTGATTCTGACTACTTTGTTGATGATAAAGATAATATATTAGGCAGTTTGAGCGATGCAATTATACGGATAAAAGAATTCAAACGAGAAAATGGAATCGAATATCAATGCACGTTATGTTTACAGAATTATAGTCAACTGACTAGTGTATTATTGCATACTGTCGAGAATCATGTCCCTTCCAATGGTCCATTCTTTTGCATGGTGTGCGAAAAGGACTGCAAAAGTCGTCGAGAACTGCGAACACACGTGAAAACGCATACTGGCGAGTTTCCATATTCCTGCTTCCTTTGTAAAAAGGCATATAACAGAAAGAGATATCTGAAGAGACATATGGCATGTCATCCCAACTTTTCACGGCACCGCTGCCTGAAGTGTGGTTGCCGCTTTAAATCAAAATCAGAATTAGACAGCCATGCGACAACACATGATCTCGTCGCACCCTATGCTTGCAGTCAATGTTCGCGTATATTTAATCACAAAGGCAATTACAAACGGCATCTGATCAGCCATTTGGATCCGCAGGGTCTTCATTTGCCTAAATATCCGTGCAATTATTGTGACAAACGTTTTCCTAATAATCGTACACTCCAAACGCATATACGGGTACATACTGGTGAAAAACCGTTCAAGTGTGACGTTTGTCAAAAGTCATTCTCACAACGAGGCAATTTATTGAACCATTCAAAGATACATTGGAATCCTCGCAGCTACACATGCGAAGTCTGTGGCAAAAGGTTTGTAACTTGTATACATATATTTGCAGTTTAATATAAATAGGCAAACTTTGAAATAGGATATAATGCAAAATATCGTAATTTAAAAATATTCTAAATGTATGTTATAATTATCATTTAAAAGAGTAAGTATATTAATTGTATTATTATATTATACTGTTCATTAACAATCTTGTTATATAAATAATATTTTAGTATTATAAATTTTTTTTTAATTTTGGATTAAATTTTTTAATAACAATATTTGTACATTTCATTGAATATAATATTTAATGTAAACACTCTTATATCTGATTATTATAGCTTCAATCAACGTGCTACATTACGAGATCACACATTATTGCACACTGGTGAGAAACCTCACATATGTAATGTATGTGGAAAAGCATTTACGGTTAGTGCAGCATTGAGAAGGCATATGTTCAATCACGTTGACGTCAGGCCATTCAATTGTGATAATTGTGGCATGGGTTTCATCGGTAAATACGATTTACGACGACATATGCGAGTGCATGAGAACCGACCTAAGGAAAAGCGTAAAAAAAACACAAAAACAACCAATGTTCTTCAGCAAAAATCGGAGGAAAGTCATGTTACGTTGGAAGAATCGTTGGAAGAAAAAAAAACTGAGACTGCGCTCATAGAAATAGAAGAAGGACTTTTATCACAAAACATTATACAGACCATACCACAAATCGAATCGGAAAAGGAAAATGAGGATGCACTATTTAATAATCTTCAATCTTATTCAGTTATATACAGTACAACTGAAGATAGATCATAGATTGTGTAATATATTAACTATCTTATTACAAACATATTTTTGTTTTACTCATATATTCATGTATACAGTGTTGCAATCATTTTCTTTCCCTCTTCAACTCCAATTATGTGGTATAGAATTTATATGGCACTTTATCAAGGTATATTTTTACAAAGTATCTTTTAACAGTTCAATTAGCTTTTTGCCTAAATATACAGAATGTTTGGCAATATAAAAAATAAAAAAAGTAAAATTACGAATTCGGCTCTATCCTTTAATTATGAATGTTTAATTTATGTATTTAATTTAAATATTCATACACTTTAAAGATTTTATGTGAATATTTAAACACTAATTAAAAAACAAAGCAATTTTGTTATCGACTTTTATCTTATTTTATCTAGAATTACTTTTTTTAAGTTTTCACCTATTGCCGAACACTGTTGTATTATAATTTCGAAAATCAAATTTCCAAGAGAGATTTTTGCTATTGCTAATTATGTATGAATAATTAAAAATAATTTTTTTTATGATACTATTTACAAATTTTAAAAAATATTTCATAAATATTTTCTTTTAATTTCTGTTAATAGAAATAATAATATAGAAATATTCTCTTATTACGTACAAAAATGTAATTATTATATGTAGATTTAAGTTAATTCAGAAATATTTTGTATCCAGAAAATTTTTAGGATACAATGTCTGAAGATTCCAAAGTTTTAAATATAAATAGTAATGTATATATAAATTATTGCAATATATTATTAACGACGAAGTTTGTTAACAAACTTATATAATACATTACGTTGGTTGCCACGGCGCATTTATACGTAAATAACATTTCTTGTTTTTAACACTTTCAATACGAATGATGACATTTTTTCTGAAAAACTTTAATGTTTAGGATTCTTTTATTGATAAGTCGCTAAATAAAGAACAGAATAGAATAGATGTTCGATGTTTTAACTATTGATATAAACTATTGATGTAAACAATTTGTTTAAAATGCAAATGTTAAATTTGATATGTCATTGTACAAGCGTTTTATAAGTAAGCATACATATTTATCCCGCAATAATATCATATACAATGTATTACTACATTTTCTCTAATTGTTACCTGCATGGATAATCATCAGACATAAACATTAATGCAGATAACAGAAGAAATAAAAATATTGTTATTCGTGCACATATATATCTAACATTAAATTTATAAATTGTCGAAATTTTGACAGATACGCAAACTTCCATGTGATTTTTATATAATTTATTATTGTTAAATCTAAACGATATGTATATATATATATGAAATATATGTACCTTATATATATAAAGCTCTTGGTGTAATAGAGAGCTTTGTCTTACATATTTTAAAAAACTAAATTAATTTTTCAAATTATTTTTTAGTTAAACGTATGTGCAGATATACATGGAATTTGTTTTCAGTGGCTGAACTAGTGTACACTTTTGGAATCTAAAGATAAGTATATGTTTAACATTTGACAAAATCGAGAAAGAGAGTTCTAGTATAGTAATAAAAAAACATCCATAAATTTTAAAGCTTTTATTATAATCTCTAATGGTCAAATATATATTTGTAGAAACAGAGTACTATTTTTTGACCACAGAGAGCACCACGCGTATTATTTCACGATTCTCTGTCGGTTTGAGAATCAGTAGATATATTTTTTAGATTAGAGCATTGATTGATAAAGGCTATTTATATAGTCAAGAAAATTTTCATAGGATCACAAATAAGATGTTTGTAACTATTCGAAAAGGAATGCTGTGAAAAATTGGTAAATAATAGATTTCTACATCGTAGTGATAAATCGTTTAGTGTAGGTGTCTCTTTAATTTACATTTTTAACAATAATTCATCTGGAATTTGTTAATTTTTCGATCTTTATTAAAATATTCTTTAAAATTGATTGAATAATTAAATTTTCTATACTTTCTAACTTCTTCATCATCCACTAGATGTCGTATTCAGTCTATCAAGTTATTAAAAATCAAAGAAAGAAATTTTGTGGTTTTGAGTTATAATTGACTAGTATGGAAATGATTGACAGTGATATTTTTTTGTATTAATTAACGGATGTTATTAATGGTTCAAGTATTGTTATGATTATTAGTTTACTGATTAATTATTGGTAGTTGTTTTGCAATTCATAGTTTGGAAATATGAATCCTGAAGCCGCGCGCGTATGCATTCAGTAATATTAGATAGGACAATTAAATTAATTAATTATATGCACGAAACTCGAAAAGGTTTCATTATCGTACATTTTTAATAATTCTTTAAGAATTGAAATCGTAAATTAATTAATAGCAAATTAATTATTTCTGGTAACTCTTTAAATATCGGTTAAATATATCTCTACTTTTCTTTAGACAATTGTCTTTTTTTGAAATAACCATATAAAACTAATCGTTTGTGATTCTTGAAGTATTGTATCACTTTAAATTGACATTTATACATTCTTTTGTAAAATTTTTACGAAACATGTATTAAAAAATTGTATATTTTAAAATTAATGTTATTTTGTTTTATTTTTAGATTATTGATGCGACATTCTCTTTGCTTTTTTCTCTATTGTGTTTGCATCTGTGTATTATATTCTTACATTATATATCATTTACATACATCTGATTCAAATCAAAATCATAGACTAATAAAATTTTGGAATATAAAGGTAGATATATAATATTCTTTTTAATATAAAAAAAAACAAATCAACAAACAATAATGTGTATAATACTATTTGATTATGGAATATAAAATAATAATTGTTAATACAAAGCAGTTAGTAAAATGTATTAATATAACCAGAACATTAATTTGTACTATATAAACTGTACTATATTAATTTGTACAATTTAAACATAAGTTACAATACAATAAACATACAGTTAAAAAGTTTTTAATACTCCAAAATCCGCATAAAATGAAATACAAAATCTAAAAATAATGTGCGTAGTCGCACTATGAATGTTTTCACAACGTGAGAGAGAATCGATAATCTTTCTAACAGCTTTAATTGAATAAAATCGCAGTTGCACGCATTCCACATTTTTTTACACGGATTAAAGTGAAAATTTGCACGGTACTTTCGAAATCAAATACGGCTGATATTGTCTGATTCTAATTTTCTTGTTTCTATGCAATTTATATTTAGTGTTCACTGCTAACATATTCGAAATTGGAGCTACGTTTGGTGCCAACAGTTTCCACATAGCCAGAATACGATTAAACGCTTCATTGCCTTCCTGCCGTAAGCACATGTTAAAATTTTCAGGGAGGCGAACGAAAGAGAGAAAAGTCGTGGAGTATCGATCAAGAAGAAAGGATTCAAGTGGCATATCACGGGAAAACGTGTGAAAGCACCATCCAAATCGGAGCGCGCGTTCGCGGGAGTCGTCGGACATAAGATCAACGATGTTGCTGGCTGCGCGTTCGGTGCGCAATTGAGAGCTGCGGGAAGCGTCGCGCGTGGCTGCGCGGCGTGCGACTGCGCAAGTCGCGCATGCGCGAGGGACGTCGAACGGGCAGTAGTCGCTACGGTGGCGCCAGTCATGGCGGCTGAAAACACACGCGCACGCTGCCGCCGCCGCCGCCGGTCGGTGCCTCCACGCCTCTACCTCGCCTCCGCCACCGCCACCGATCCCACGACTCGTGGGTAAGTACCCTCACACTCTACGCTCCAATCAGTCTGCACTCGCATGTCCACGAGGTTGCTCGCACGGGGCCTGGCGGCATCCTCTCTCTCTCCCTCTCTGTCTCTCTTTCTCGTTTCGTCCGCTCGTACTCCTGTTCTATCATATTCTCCATCTCGCTCTTCCCCCCCCTCTCTCTCTCACATTTACCGTCTGTTTGTCTATCTCTCTTGCTCTCTCATTCACCTGACTCTTAGCGCGAGCAGTGCGTTACACAACACGGGGGTGATACCGGTCGCCAGTCGAGGTACTGGTCGCGGACACTGCAGCCGTGGTTGAGGTTAGGTCGACGTCGACCAGTCGGCCGTAGTGGCGGGACGCGGCGCGGCGGATTTGAATTTTCGAACCCACCGATTACCCGCGCCGTGTTTACGCGGCTCCACCGGGTGCCGCAGATCGATTCGCGCGCGCGTCGCGATCGGAGGGATCGTCATCGCCGTCGTTGTTTTCCTGCCGGACGGTTGCAGATCGGGTTTGTGATTATCGTCATCCACGATATAATCGGGCAAACCGTTACGCGCGCTTGCAGATTAGACCGACGACGGCGTTTTGTCGAAACGAACGGAAACGCTCTGTGAGGACGATGCGCCGCGAGTTTTTAACGTCATCACCATCGCCGCCACCGCCGTCGTCGTCGTCGTTGACATTGTTATTGTCGCCGAGGTCGTCGCATTCGCGTCTGGTGGAAACGCGCAGCGACGGAGACAAGCAGCGAGTCCTGTGAGGTTTCTGTGAATGTTCTCGGACAGCCGCGTGCCGCGGCTAGCCGCGCATCAGTTTCTCAGTGCACACGAGGAAAACGTATGCGTGCTGGTGATCAACATGTCTATTCTTGCGCCCGGAAGCGCCACGCGGATCCCGCTCGGTTCCGCGTATCGTGTCGTGTCGCGTCGTCGTCGAAGTCGAAGTCGAATTCACATCGCGTCGCTCGGACAATGAGAACGTCGTGGTCTGCAGAATATAATATGCTCCAATCCGTCGCTCCGAGAGCGGAGCGTTCACGCGATTATCTCGCGAGTCTTGCACATTTTTTTCGGAACTGCTGTAGCGAACATAGATATAACATTCTACAATAAGTCGTTACTTAATCCTCCATAGTTCAATCGAGATTTTGAAGATCCAGGCGAATTTTCAATTTTCAATCGTTCTGCCTCAAATTCGGACACGTACGAAGAAAGTGAAAATCGTTTCGGAGCAGTTTGATAAATCAATGATTCTGTAAAAGGAGATTATGTTGAAAAATAAGTCGAATTTTGATATAAAAAAGTTAAAAAAAAGTCACTTATTAAACAGTCCTCGTATTATTGTAAAATTGTATTTTTGAATGTTATGAAAGCGTAAATTTTTTTTTAGATTTTTTAGAGTTCAAAAATTTTTTAAAAAACATAATCAGTGATCCGGTTGGACTAAGAAAGCAGTGAAAAAAATGTTGGACTATGGAAGGTTAAGCTTCAAGTCTTAAGCCGTAAAAAATTGATCAATCACAGTCGAATATGAAAAGAATAATCGACTAGTTAATTTTTTATGATTTAAGACTTAAGCATAGGTAATAGCTTATTATAGAAAGCCTTTAAGAAGATTGTGCATTTCTATGAAATTGTCATTATTGATTTAGAGAGAGTAATGTGTAACTTAAATCATATATATTGTTCTCTTTCTTTCTCTCTCTAAAATATTGAATCTATTTTATTCATTATATTGCAAATTAAATTTGTTAAACACATGAATAATCAGTGTCCGATTTGTGATTAGTATTAACTTTTTACTTATATTCGTTATTAGAGCCTTCAATATACTAATATTGTCTGAAATATTGAAGAGAAATTCAGATATGATTGCCAACATTGCGTTCTCTTTCTAAATCGAGCACAGATGCTACAATCAGGGAATGTGCAGTCTACTTTTTTACGTCTATGGTAGCGAAAGTGCCTTGCGTTAATAACGATGAGAATGTTGTCGATTCTTATGCGAGACGAATGAATTTTATTACGCAAAGTTTCACTTTTTTGCCTCAGAAAAGAAACGCTCGATAAAATAATTTATATAATAAAAAACATAGAATAATTATGGTGAAAATGAAAATTGTTATAGATTGTCGCGTAGAAGCTAGGAATTTATCTGCGTGTATCATTATTCGAACGTTGATATTTGAACGTTTTTACATTAATTTCTTAACGTTATTTGTATTGGCTGATTAGATAACGTTACAGATATTGACAGCTGCCAACCGACTGTTTTATGAACGATTGACAAAAGGCTCTTGTCTCTTTAATGTGAGTAACGAAATTTCGTAATTTAACAAAATTTTGAAACACGTAATCTATATTATCGAATTATTAACTGCATTTTAAAGCAGTATAAAGATAACGTCAGAAGTTTATAGACGCGGAAAATGCGTTTTGCAAATCGGGAACATGAAATTCTGCAGACGTATTGCATAAGTGCATTTGAAAATGCACAAAAGATAAAAGGATTCGTGTATGAAGTGGACTCGAAACTCGTTTGCTCAAAATAACGTTTTGAATTAGTTGTCAATCCGATTATCTTTAGCTACTTTGTATAAAATTATAAGATGGAGATACATCATTTATTTAAATAATATTTGAATAAATGAAGGCTTTAGTATTTTTATCATAAATTGCTAATAGACTGATAAAGTCAATTACAATTATTATATCATTAATTGTAATTAATTCTTTTTCCTTTCATTTTTACGTTATTAAGCAATTTAGAGAATTATTTGCAATATTTGAGCGATGCCGAAATACACGAAAGTAATTTTTTGATACTTAATTCTTTAAATTTTTTGTTATTCTTGATTTGGATAATTTATTATTTTTAATTTTTGATTGTAATTTTGACATAAAAATTAATTGACAGAAACAGCAATTAGAGCCTTATAGTTTTTTGTCAATTGTTCATGAAATTGTGCACATCAAGCTTTCGATTCGATTGCTATTTTTAAAAATGAGATTTTACATGAACTTTTCGAAATATTCACAATTTTTCATTACCACTAATATTTCTCGCACGTGATTTTCTATCGAGTGCGAGTATCGTTCAATCGTTGTCGCGAAAGCGAAGCCGATCTGGCATCGATCGACGCAATTACTCGCGGATCGAATTCGATAGCTTTCAGGTTGAAAGGTTAGAAGTAGCAGAAATTGTCGGCAGATCGACACCCGATCCAACACCGGTGATTAATTGACAATCACGATAATTAATGATACACGCGGTATACCGCGATCTCGTGCCACGACATGCTGATGTATTCTATTAAATCGCGTTTTGTGGAAGAAAATATCGAGTGAGTTATGAGCAGATTTGCTCGTATTTATTCATTTTGAAGGGACAATTGTAACAACTGTCACAACATTTAAGATTATTAATGTAATATTTTCGTTTTATATAACTTGATTTTTTAAGCATTATCCATTTACTATTTTAAATGGTATGTTTGTCATTTTCGATCTACAGAAGTGTGTTCATACAACTAAATAAATAGATTTTAACATATTAATAATTTAAGAATTTAAATGCTATAAATATTCAATTAAAATTTTATATTGTAATCAAGAGCTTAAAGTCAGGTTTTCTGAGAATTGATAATTTAACTACAATAACTGTACTAAAAGAATAAACGAATTGGAGATTCTTTCATTAGATTTTAACAAGATTTTTCTATCTCAGAGTATAATTTTATAATATGTGAATTCTATAATGGTAGCAATTGTTCTAATATAGAAACTCTTTCAAAAGTAATAAATGTAATAAATTGAAAAAATAGTGATATAATTACCACAAATTGTACAGTTTCCAACATGATTGTAGAGAATGCTGTTGGTTGCTGTACTTATCTGACTATTCCATAATTAATTAAACTGTTTTATGTACGAGAAGTGCTAATATGAAATTGATAAAATTATAATTTCATTCCGATAGGAAACACGACATAATTCTCGATGTAATTAATGCGCCACGACGTAATCCTCATTGACGAGCCGAGCTAATTTATTGAACTCACTTTTCGATCGATGACCTCTTATATCCAATTTTGCGCATTCTTAAATTGTAAAATCCGAATTGTTTGAATTGCAATTTTAAAGGCAAAATACGTAAAAAAATCAGGAATGGAAATTAACAAAAGAAAAGTTCAGAATGTACGTACCATTTTTAATCCATCATATGTATTCTTTGAATCTAAGTATTCTTTAATATTATCACGTGTAAATTTTAATACACAATTTTACACAGTTTTTATAGATTACTGTTAACAATTTTCTTATTAATGATTTATTGAAAATAGAGCCTGTTAAAAAAAATAATTTAACAATTATCAAGACATCGAATGCCCTAATTGATCAAATGCTTAAAATAATTTCTTGTTGGATTGTATCTTCTTTGAGAAAGCTTTGAGGAAAACATATGTTCTTTTACGAAATTTATAGAAAAATGCTGTACATTAAGAGAAAAAATGAAAAATGAAATAAAAAATTCATCGATCGAGAAATATGCATAAATCGCGCATAACGATAGTCTATTCATTATCATCATAATAATGAAAATTGTAAAGGTTAGATTAATTGATAAATTTAATTAACAATTAATAATTGATTAGCCAATATAAACGCAATCGATAAGGTATGTCCGATCATCGCGGTCGCGTTTCCGAAATTCCGAGTTTACGCGAAATTCTCTTCGAGTCTTGCGTTGCCGAACGTATTTAGAATAGAAAAAACGATGAATCGACGAGGCACGGAAGGAAGAAAACAACGACGTATATGTTTTAGATGGATAATTCTGCGTACGTACCGAATCACCTACCGCCGCCGTCTTTGGTCGTGTTCTCGCAGGCCGGAGGGCTGCCTGAGGCCTTGAGAATGCAAAGACCATTCAATCCACAAGTTAGTGTCCCATTGTCCTTACCCTTACGCCTATAAGCCTTTGCATCAGCTTGCATTTACGCGATTGCGCTGCGTTTCGTTTACCTGCAACGCGTTAAAAACGTATTTTAACCCTTTGTCTCTGTGATAAAGATTTCGAATTTTCGAACTTTCTTCTGTTTTAAGATTCTCATGTTTTTATAAAGAAGAAAATGTGATTATATAAACTTGATGTATATAAACTTGATTACTCCAGATATATTACTTTAATTTTTATTGGACTTTGATATATCTTTACGTATCTTTACGTGAATTGCGTACAGTTAGACGTTGCGTAATTGTGTAAAATTTATATTTGTGTGATTTTTTAACTATTAAAATCGACGAAAGAGTAAGATTTATTGGAGAACTATATTGGAGGGTTAAATCACTTTCACGCTTGCATCACGTAGAACGAAACTGCACTGCGGTAATTCGAGCGTATCATATTTGACGGTAACATACGTCACTATTTGGCAGAAAAGTAACTTGAAATATGTACAAAATAAACAAAAAAAAAACAAAAAAATAATTGTTGGCATTGATTTCATTGAGCCCGTCGGACTGCTCGAGTTACTTCCATCTCGCTTTGCATATCTATGTCGCTTTATATACGGGAGTACTAATTAATGCACGCGATGAATAGAAATTTGATTGTATGCGTGTGTATAAATGTGAATGCTCAAATAACAGTTAGTATCGAGTCAATGATGCGCAACTTTCTTCCATTCGGACAAATTGTTGCCTTGTTTTAGGTAATGTCCGTTTACCGACAATCATTATAAAATGGAAAGAGTATAATTAAGAAATATAAATGTAAATAAAAAATTATAGCGCGTCAAGCAGTTGTTTTTATATTATTAAAAGTAGAAATATACAAATTAGAGCATACAAATGAAGAGAAATACGTAGATTGTGCATCATTGACTCGACGTACAGAGTGTAAGCATTAATAAAAAAAGAGAAGTAAAACGATAATCAGCGAAATAGTAAGTATTTTCACACGATCAACGATCTATGACATCTGAAATTAGTTATATAAGTATTATGTTTATGGAGCAGCTGCGAATTATCTCAAAGAGAATTAATTCTGAAAGAGAATCAATTCTTAAATTATACAAAATATTTACTTTATCACATTAAAATGTGACATCAACTTATGTATAATTTTCTTACAGTTTTCAAATTTTATGTGGCGTAATCAAAACGCGCGCGTATTGATAACGAATTACCAAAAATACCGTTATTAAACTTCCGATAATAACAAGACTCTTTTAAATACAATTTTATATCGCATACATTTTTATCTCATAACTGTGATTGCCGCAAATATTTAACGAACGAGCATCGCGGTTAATTATAAGCGTATTCCACAGCGTTTTTAAATGCTTGAATATTTTTCATACGTGCGGGACATCAATCGGGTCTGGATAACGCGTGCAGATGCGGAACGGTAGATACAGATAGTGATGGAATGAGGGAGACAGCGAGAGAATGGGTTGCATCAAAATTCAGCATCGTTAAAAAATGAGATAATTTCAGGGCGAACCTAATTGTGATGGCGCGGTGACAAAATACGCTCGCGTTTTACCGCCCGCGGTAGCGAGCGGGAGAAAAAAAATAAAAGATTATTGCAAATATGCAAGCGATGCGCGTCGCGCGACACCGATCGCGAAAAAAGGACCGGGGCTGCAATTAAAATAATAATGAATACCTAATAAATCACTGATTGGACCGCGGGCGCAAATATGCGAGCCGGCGGACGCGAACCTCATTTCCCTGTATAAAAGAATAATAAACTAATCGCGGCGTACTAATACCCGCGCGTGTAACTCATCGCCCGCGTCATTATCGGCCGAATGAAATGTTTATCCGGAAACCAGCTGTCCGTTCTCACCGATGAAATCATTTCGTACTTCCGTTCCTCTTAGTCGCGTGGGATGACGATTGACGAGTAACACTTTGCGCTTTTATAATTCAAGATGAATTTGATATTGAGCCATATAACATTTCTGTATTAACTATCACAACAATATCTCAATTTGTGTTAAAGAAAAGTCAATACTGTATTGTTGCAAATTTAAGTGAAAAGAAAATCACTGTAATCCCGAAATATCAAAAATAATAGAAGTAATATGAATAATTTTTTTCAAAATCAAATCTTTCGGACTGTGATTACAAATATAACAATATGGTTTTCTCTTATTTATTAATAAATTTAAAAAAAAGTGTTTTTTGAATATTTTTTGAAATACGATGTCATGAAGTACTTGTATATAATTACGCGTTGAAATACTCGCCTGTTACTCTCTCTCTCTCTCGCATCATTACATTTTTCGACAAGTCTAGGCATAGGAAATACAATGCACCGTTATTACTTGGCCACGTTTAATACAATCCGATAATTCTGGCATTATAAATGTTACAAAATCCAACGCGTAGATGCTTCAGCCGAGCATTCAGTATGCGGCTTAATAGACTCGTCAATCACGGCGAATTGAATGATACAACCGGTACACGGGGGGGAGGGGGTGGTGGTAGGGGACTATGGGGGAGAAGAGCTTCAGGTTTTGACGGATTATTATAACACAGTGGTTTCGCGTTATTAACAGTATACCACCACGTTGCTTTGATATTATATGCCATTCAGACGTAGCTGAAAGCGCGGAAATACCCTCATGCTGCAAATGAGCTATCGAATTACGCGATTCAAGTATTTTTTCGCTCGTCGCGTGTACGTGAAATAAAGTTATCTTATCGAATTTGATAATATGAAGGCGGAAACGGAAGTAAACCTTCAGGATTCCTTTTATAAATGTCACTAAAATTAATAGGAAATCAGAGGTTAAAGACATATACGAGACTTATAATCGAATGTAAAAAAAAAAAATTAATCATAAAATTGTAGCGAAATAAAAAATATGAAAAGTCTATTTCATTAAATAAAGTTATTTGCAACATTTTAATATTTAAACATATCTATTATATAAATATTGGAAATATCTCAAGGCGATATATTTACAGAAGACTCAAATTTCAAGAATATCTCTCACTTGTTCTTTTCTTATAATTATAATAACATAATTTATAAACCACATAAATATATGATTTATTTTGATAAATTTTGTTTCTCTTTCTCTCTTTTTCTTTCTTTCTCATATTCTTATAATTTTAATACACATATAATATCTTTGCTTAATTAATTAATTAACAACTGTAGTAACGATGGCTTTAAGTTAACTGACTGAAAGAACTAAACAAACAGAAAGACAAAGGGCTACGAGCTTACAATTATCATAAATTAAAAATTTTATGAATAGTTTAATAAATAAAACATGTCATCTAGTTAAAAAATAAACTTTAATTTGACCGGTAACAAGTAAAACAAAACAAACATTTCGATCCCAAAACAAACGATCATTTTCAATGCGAACAAAAAACAATGGAAATATTATAGATAAGATATATAAAAATCATTACAGTATTAAATATAAGTCTCACTCTAATATAAAATAAAAGTTATAAGAAAGTTGTAATTGACAACAATGTATTCCTCTGGATTGTATATGTAGATTAAGGAAGAATGTTTCTGTTAGAAAGTACAACGAATAGAAAAAGATTCTAGAAAAGAATTCTTTTTCTATTCATTTCTCCTCTTCCCACTTTCTCTTCCCTCTACTTTATTTTCTCCCTCTTATGCTCCCCTTCCTTTTTAGTTTTACCACTTCAACTTTCTTGTCTTTATAATTGTATTTTACATTATCTCTGAGCATCTTAGAGAGATGATTACATTTAATCTCATCGCATTGCCTAATAATAGATAACATATCACTTTGACACACAATAAAAAGTATTTATTCTTAATTTATGTGACTAAATTAAATATATATAATGTATGACGGTACATTTCTATCCGCATTAATGACTCTAATGTACATTTCTCATAATATTAGATTATTTTTTTGCCTTTTTATTTTTATTTTTATTACTTGCGACTCGTTTTGTACTTTTCTTATTAGATTTCTTATTCCTGTGGCCATTTTATATTACATTTTGTACTTTCTAATAGAAACATATTCATCCTTAATCTACATACACAATCCAGAGGACACAAATACATTGTTGTTGATTACAATTTTCTTATAACTTTTATTTTATATTGGAGCGAGACTTATATTTAATACTGCGATCGAGAGCGAATTTTTATATATCTTATCTATGTAATATTTCCACTGTTATTTTTGTTCACATTGAAAATGATCCAACAGGGAAACGTTTATTTTGTTTTACTTGTTATCGGTCAAATTAAAGTTTATTTTTTAACTAGATGACTAGATGTTTTATTTATTAACTGTTGATAAAATTTTTAATTTATGATAATTGTTTTGGGCTCGTAGCCCTTTGTCTTTCTGTTTGTTTAATTTATTGAGCTTTATTACTATTATAGTTTGAAAGAACTAACTTTCTATAAAATATATTACATTTTTATTTTACTAATCCCTACAATGCTTTTATGATGTTTCACGATGTTGATATAAAAATTAAAACTGTATATTAATATTGAACCATCATATTTATGAGGCTCCAAGACTCATTCTGTTAGATCTTTTATCAATCCTTTTGCTTTCCATTTGTTCCAGGTGACCGATTCGAAAGATCTGCAGGTGCCCTTCAGCACGGCGGCATCGCTGGGCTACGGGCTGCATCACATGCTGCATTTGCCGCCGCAATTCCTGCATCCACTCGATCATAGACTGCCCTTTGGCGGCTTTCGGCCCTTGGTGCCGTCCGCGTTCGCGCCCCCCAGCAAGTGCCTCAAGGTCGAGACCGGGAACGGCGCGGTGCCGGGGAACGGCGGCCTACCCAGCATCGGCTCGCTCTCGAGCATGTCGAATATGTTTTCGCCCACATCCCTACCGGGTGCCGGCGGGGGTGCAGTGGTGTCTGTATCCGGTGCGGCGGGCCGCGCCGCCCCGCCCGCCCCCCCCGGCGGCCCGCGGAGCGGGGGGGGGTGAGCGTTTCTCCTACCGGTACCGGCGGTACTGGTTCCGTGCCGAATCGTGGTGCAACTCCCGATGAGGAAGACCGTGACGCCAACGCCACACCAGGATCCGAGAACACTGAACGATCCACTCCGGAGGAAGGACGGCCGTATAGACGTGAGTTCAATTATATGCATGTTTTTTCCGAGCTTTTTTTCCGAGTAGATAATGATCAATATGATGTAAAATTGATCTCATGTTTGAATTTTTAATTAACATTTGATTCTTTACATACAATTTTTAATTTTTTATGCTATCATATGCTCAATATTTAATCATTTGTATTGATCATTTCTGTTCCTTGTACGATTTTAATATCTTTCTCAACATTAATACGATTTCTGTTCGTTGAACTTTGATAATACATTAATATGTTATTCTGAGAAAGGCATAAAATGTCACTGAAATCTTTACGTCAACTCGTAAGATACCCCTATTGACGTAATCTCAAAGACAACCACACGGATTTTCTCCGTTTATCATAAACATTGTCCCTGTTAAACAAACTCAGCTGCGTATTCAAAATTTTCAAAACATACCATGGATATGTATCTTAAGAGATAAGGAAACACATGCCGTATTGTTTGAGAACGCTCAATATTTCTCGAGTCGCGGGCGGTCGGGGTGGACAACCCGTATATTTTTTCGCGTTGACCCCGACGTACGGGTAGGTTAAAGCCGGCTACATCAGGAGCAGAATCATCGAGATTTGTATGCTTAATCTACCTAAGTCGTTTATTTGAGCCCCCGGCAACGTAACAGCTGTGCCACGGACAGCCCCGAAGAGATGCGTTCGCACGGAGGGCTTGTCCTCTCTCTTTCTCTCTCTCTCTCTCTCTTTCTCTGCGCGTTTGTTTATTTTTCGCCATTGTCTTAATTACCGAAAGATAGAGCCATTCATTTTTCCCCGGTCACGATGCCGTCGCCCGCTTTTTCCGTGCTCTTCAACGTACGGTTTCCTTTGGATTCGCATTGTTGAGATAACGGTAATTTTTAAATAATATACATTAGGTCATTTAAAAAGTATCCGCGGTTTTTTGTTCAATTTTTGAATGAAAAAACCATGAATACTTTTTAAATGGCCCAATAATACGATATAATATTCCTTGAAAAATTCAAATCAGATTTGATTGAACTTGAAGCAAATTGTCTAAAAAGATTATTATCTAATAAAATATTTGATTTATCATTTCATTATGAAAGGAAATTGATTATTATTGCTATAAAATTTAATTGATATTTTTTAATTTGTATTAATTTCTGATAACTTTATAAATTTTCGTGTGTCTTTCTGAGTTAATCTGGGATAATCTGGTTTATTCCATTTATGCTAAACATCAAGCGTATGCGTGGGATCTGAAATAGCTTCTCTTATGATAACTTTTACAACTATTGACGTTTTTAATAATTTTCTTTAAAAAATTATCAATAATTTTTTCATCACTATATATAAGGTAAAAATAATTTCTCTCAAGATAAAAAGAACCGGTCTATGCGCTGAATCTAGCAATCTCGTGAGAAATCGTACATTTCTCCGTGCAAATTCATCGTCGGCGAAAAAGTGTACGATGGTCAGTTCGCTCGCTTTTCGTCGGCTAATTTTCGTTTGATTGCAGAAGAGGAAAGGGGTTGAAAGCACACGAAAAGTGTCTCTCCCTTCTGTTCTTTTTCTTTCTCTTTTTTTTTCTCGCGTAGTTCGGGGGGGCAGAGATAACGATGCCCTTTGACCGCGTCGCGCGCACCGTACCGCTCGACGTTAGCACGTTGCTAATTAGTTGATACCGACTTTGTGGCGATGCACGGCGTGTTGCGTTACGCAACAAGGGACAGTCATTGCGGAAAATTACTTGCATGATTGAGAGTGAAGAGTCAATTTTAATTACGGAAAACGCTGTATGAGTTTTTTAAAAATTATACACCCACTCGCTCTCTCTCTCTCTCTCTCTCTCTCTCTCTCTCTCTCTCTCTCGCACTAATTATTTGAATAGGTTTTAAATTTAAAAAAACAAAATATTTTTCATTGTTGGATTAAAAATCTCTTGTTATTTAATTCCTTTGATGTATTAAAATTTATTGCTAATCGCGATTTGTGATGTGCCGGAGATATTATTAATATGTTGTTTGATGTATCTCAAACGTCGAGGCTGTTATGCGAATTGGCCGCGTATACGTACCTATTTTATACTCCATATGTAGTGTGGTATTTTCATTATACACTCACGTCCTTTTTGAAAAGGGTGCATATAGAGACGCGGTTGACATACGCTCGTGCCCGTGCTTCATCGCTATTTATGGCAAATAATCATACGCGACTGTATCGTGCAATTTACATTGCGTTTGTTTGACTCTAATGGCGCGGCAAAAATATCAAGTTAATATTGATTCGCGTCTGTAATGCGTGTGTTTGGCCGCATCCACTAGTTGCTATAACCGACTATCATCATTTCAATAATCGTTATCATTTCTAAATTTTATAATATTATTATACGTGTAGTAGAAAAAAAATTATAATATACGAGAGTTCCTGCGAGATTAGTGTGTGTAATCTACAATTTCTTAATAACTTTATAATTACAATATAAGAGTTAGGTTACAGAATAATTCTAATTTCTTAATCTTCTTAAAGTGTGATGGTTACACAGACGAAAAATTTGTGTTAATTTAAAAAGAATTTACACAAAAACAAGTAACACAGACACAAGTTGTAAGCAATCACATTTCTTCATCAAAATTAATATTTATAATATGTTAAATTAGCATGTTTCAACAAAATTTAACATTCGTAATGTGTCGCATTAGCACATTTTATTTGTTTATCTATGTAGAATTTACATTTTATAAAACATTATTTTAATGTTACTTGATCACTTAAATTGCTTATAAATTGTCTTATTTGAATTTTAAGAAATGTTGAACATCAATTTAACACAAAATATTCAAATAACACAATCATATTATGTTAAATTAACATTCGGATATACTAAAAATTCGACACAAAATTTTAACATGGATTTAAATGGACCGTAACACAAATACAGAACGTTTTTTTTACTGTATACATTATTTACATTTGAATACGTTGTAATGAGATTTATCATTAGAAAACTTATTGTTATAAAACACGAAACAATATAATTAATTTTTCAATCGCTGTTACTGACAGGATTGTCAGATCCTGTCAGTAACTTTTGACGATTAGAAGTCGAAATAAAATTGCAAATCGGTCTGTAATCAGTTGGTGCGGAGAATACCGGCGAGCAAGTAATATACGCATTGTATCGCTCACACATCACACCCGCGAACGCATGTATAGCCGTTGCATTGGGGGGATATGCGGTGTTTGGTTCGTAGCCGGGGATTGGAGTGTACAATCGTACCGTTTGGCAGCCTGTTTGAATGTTTTGCGACGAGTTTATTCGAGTTATCAATTTCCTGGCAAATATCTGCATTTCCGCACACTCACATGTTCTCCCTCTGTCGTTCTTCCCCTGCCATTCTGTATCGTGCCTACAGTAGCATTGCATGTAGATTTCCCAAGGATGAAACTAAACCTATCTATGAATCAACAATGGTAGATATACATAAGGAAAAGAAGAAAGTACTTTTGTTCAAGAGAATACCTCTATTTTTTTTAGAGGTTAATCCGAACTTTCTTCCCCACATTCCCCTCCTGCTTCTTTCTACACATGCAAATAAAACAAATAGCAATAAATTTGACGAAATTATTAGGTGTTGGAATTAATTCGTAGCGTTTTTAATGAAAGAATGTTATTTATTTCACATGAGCATTAAAAAATACATTAATGAAAGTACTTCCCATCACTTGTAAAACGCTACGAATTAATTCCAACACCTAATAAAAAAGAGAAAATTATAAAAATATAAAAATAACAAAAAAATGTCAAAGTTAATATATAATGAAGAAATTGACTTATGCCTGCTTCCACAAATATAGATTAAATTACGTTTTTATTTAACTTACTCTTCATTTTTTTTTAATTCTTAGAAAAAGATTAAGAATTAATTGAATCAAGATTAAAGTCAAGTTATTCGTTAAAATGAGAATTATATGTAGATATTATTATTGCAGTAACTCTCTCTTCGAATCATCGTGCATTTGAAAAATATTATATGTAGAAGTATTTTTGTTTTTGGTATATTTGAATTTAATATGTTTTTAGTATTTGTTTCATTATCATTTTAATTACATTTTGGAATTTGCAATCCTTATATGGCATAAATCAAAATTGTACTCATATGAAATGCATATGCGACATAAATAGTAACAAAATATTTTAAAGTCGAAACGATATAAAGGGTCATCCAAAATCATTGATAATTCCGAAAAAATATCAAAGCTTCGACATACGTAGTATGTCGCTTTAAAACGGGTACTTTTGCCATGTAAAAGCATAGGGGCGCGGCATGAACGGGCCGAAGGGCCACGTGTGTATTAGCGTGTTATCCGTACGTGTATTTTTTTTTTTACACACGCATAAATACGCAGCAGTAATATAACATAGGGACCCCGCTCGTCTCGACGGTCATGAAATGGCGAACGTAAACCGGAAGCGTGATTTTTAGTCCGCCGCGAATGTATGACGTCGTTCTTTTTTTCAGTTTTGCGTATTTATGTTCGCGCAATTTTCCACGAATCTCACACCGAGAATTGTTTCCACGCATGCTGTTGAAAACGTATAGTGAAATTACAGACTAGAAATTCTTGAAAGGAATGAAGTGAAACTACCTGCGTAAAACTTATCAATCCATTGTATTTTTAGTTTTTGATAATCTATTTTTTAATAATTTATATTTGTACGTGTTGTAATTAATCTAATGATAATAATAGATATTTGCAATGGTCTTTTTTAAATTGTTTTATAAGTATCGAAACGGAAAGTATTCGTTTAATGAAATTTATTACGATATAGAGGTATAAAAGTTTTAGTAAATATTATTAGATTTTTCTTAGAAATAATTTTATACAAATTTATGTGAATAGTAATTAGATAATTCTTTAATACATGGATATGCTTGGTTATGTTAGACGTAGCTGTATAGAATTATATTAGAAATGAAAAAGTTAACATAATCCTTTAAGAAATGAAAGATTAATA